TAAGCCCTTTTGGTCAGGGGGGGGGTCTGATTTCTGCAAAGACTTGCCCCCGTTGCAGAGCACATGCATGGAATAGCTCAGAGAATAACGTTGTATTGGACCAAGAATGGCTGAACCGTTCTGCAGATTTCCTTCGCCAGTCATGGATAATAGGAGCCAAACTGACATCGGAAAACAGTTTTTCTCCAAAACAGCATGGGTTGAAAATTAAAAACTGGACATGGTTTAAGGAGGTGGAAATGTATTCAAAACCATTTTAGCCAATACCTACCTTTTCTTCCCTCTCTGTTGCATTCTGTGGGACCAAAACAGCTGCCAAGTCAGATGCTAGTAGCAGTGAATAACAACAAAGAATACAAATGAAATGGGGTTGCTGAAAAGTAATGAGAGAGCAGAGCTTCACCCAAAATGTTCTTCTAATTTAAATTTTGCGATCAAAATAATTCCACGTTGTGTCTAATGTCCGGCGTGATAGTTCCACGAAATCAACAGTTAGAATTCTTCTGTTGCTTTAATCAGCTATAGGTCCCACTGAAGCTGCCCTCTGTCCAGGCGCTCACGAGCATTTTTCTGGTTATTCATCCCATAAAACTGCATGTCTCGTTAACTGGAGCATGATACGTTCTCCTGATTGTCCATCGGGAAGATACGCTTTTTTGGGGCGTTGCTGCTGATGTTCCATCTCCTTCCCTGTCTAGTTTACATTCTAGTGCTCTGAAGAACTTCCCGGGGTCAAGGCGATCCAGTAGTTCCACTCAACTGGACGGTGGGAATGTTGGGAAATTTGAATTTGAGGTCACCGACTTCTTCCTGTTTGGGTCTCCTCTGGGGCTGGTCCTTGCCTTACGGAAAACCATCATACCAACTCTTGACAGTAGGTTCCAGCATGGGGAGGAGGGCCTTCTGAAACCATGCCTTACTTTTCACAGGTTTTGTGAGCAAAGGTGCACATCTGGAATGCTACAGTTAGTCATGAGACCAACATGAGCATTTTTTAGAGCTTTTCCTCTCTATGGCAGAATATTCTGAGATGCACAGGATTGCTGTAAAACTATCTACGATTGACCTGTGTCTGCAAAGTCACCTTCTCACTAAGACGTTCCTTCAATAGAGAAGAATTTCTGTAGCTCAGGGTTGAACTGTGGAGTCTTTGGTGCTCTCTGAGCTTGGTGGTTGCCTTGCAGACGTTTCTTTACCTGACTAGGTAACATCTTCAGTGCAATAGTCGGGTAATGAAGCATCTGCAAGCCAGCCACCAAGCTCAGAGAGCACCAAGGACTCCACATTCCTTCAGATCGCTGAGTAATTTTGCAGCCCTTCAAAATATTTTTATGAGCTGATAGATAAACCAGATGAGCGAGCTTGGAATATTCTGTAGATGTTTTTTTTACTAATTCTTTAAAAGTCATGTGATCAAGAAGACATTGTGTATTATATGTATAATATCATACATATAATATTCATAATGTTATGAATTATATGATGATATTATAATACATTACTAAGCCAAGTTGCTGCAACAAAATCTGATGTGACTTCTTTTTGAATCCTAATTCTGTCTGCTCCTGTCAGCCACCTGAGTGCTTAATTTAATAAAATACAGGTGACACCATTGCTCTGGAATTGCATGCTAAATTGAGGAGCACTGAGACTGAACAGGATATAAGAAAGCATCTTCTCTAAATATTCCTTAGGTTTCTGTTCGGAAGACGCAACCCATTAATATTGACTGCCTGGAAGAGCTTAGAACCAACGAAGTGGGTTGTCAGTGAGATAGCCGAGCTGTGGGTTATGGTTTCAGTATCCTCTCCCTTGCTGATTCTTTCTCTTTTACCTGTTGGCTTAGTCTTCCAGTTGAGACCAGCTTGCCAGCAAGTCTACAACCTGTTCCATCCAGCTGATCCTTCTGCCTCCCGCTTGGAGCCTCTTCTAGAGAAGAAGTTCCACATCTTGCCCCCCTTCAGCATTCCACGTTACCAGAGGTTCCCTCTTGGGGATGGCAATTCAGCCCTTCTGGGTAAGTTCATTTTTAATGTTTCCATCTTTTAAGGGAGCAGTTGACTGGATGAGCAGAACTGGCTTTAAATTCTTGAAGTTTCTCCTGCCAGTGAGAAGGGGTTGACCTCAGGAATCTGAGGTCCATGTACAGCAGTGTTTCTCAACCTTGGCAGCTTGAAGATGTGTGAACTTCAACTCCCAGAATTCCCCAGCC